ATTATTTGCCTAATTGACAAGTAAATTTCTTATAATTTAGTTCTTTTTGAAATTGAAAAGAGGGTAAATAACAGTAACTGTAATGATTCTGTGGCTAGTAATGATACTATAAAGTGTAACGGCATAAATTGACAATGCAGACATGTGAGGAGATGCATCAAATGCAGGTTTTTATGCAAGAAATGAAATGTCCTCAAACGAGGTAGTTGAGAAACTGGCGAGCTGGGGCTAACTCAGATCAATAAAATCGTGCCAATGTGTTGCTGATTTGATTGGTTAGCTCAAAAAAATGAAATTAATATTTATTTGCGAAACAGTGATAAATATACAAAGCAAATATTATTACAGTCTTTTACAGATATACTTGTGCAGTGAAGAACTAAACAGAATTTTTAAAAACTAACACAACTTGCATGATGGATTTTGTTTGCATAAATTCCATTTGAAAAGACTTCAATTATCACTCAATTTGCATCTTATCCTCATAATTATCCCATTGCCAATACCTGGATAATTCTACTCTTACTTATATCATTAGTCTGCTTATATCGCAAGTTCACAAGGAATTTAAAAGCAAAGAAAACGCCAAGAAAATTCACCATATCGATATTGAAAACGTTTCGGAGTCCAGCTCCATCATCAGTTCGACTAAACTAAAAATGAATAAAATCACTTTAAAAGTCAAAATTCAAAGACAGACATAAANCGTATTGTGCTCTTTTTGTAGCGTTCCGGGCATTCGCTGGCAGCGTTCAGGACCCTTCCGATATCTGTTGGTTTCCGATATACTTTTGTGACAACTGAATTATCTTTAACTTCCACGAATACATCCAAAAAAGGCAAGGTGCGATTTTGTCCGAGCTCATAAGTAAACTTCAAGACTGAATTCATTTCGAAGGCTATACGCAGTTTTTTGAGATGTTCTTCATCACGAACAACGATGAAGATGTCGACTTATCTGCAGTACAGTTCAGGCTTGATCTGTCCATCTGACAAAACTCTATTTTCAATTTCGCAATATTTTCGTTCAATAAATATTGCGAAAAATATCGCAATAAAAAAATATAATAAATATTAAATATTTTCGTTCAATATTAAAAATGTCAATCGGTAATTTAATTTTCAATCTTCCAACACCTACGAAGAATTTAGTACGACTTATTGAAAAAAACTAACAAGAAGCTAATAAATAAAACTAATGCTCTGGTCTTTAACAAAACTTACTTAAGAGAAGAAATTCTGCCAGCCTACACTAATATTCGCACTCATGACCCGGCAGCAAGAGAAGAAATGATCACTGTAAGATACAGGAATGACCTAATTCGGAGACAAATCGAAGTAACTAATAATGAACTTGAAAATACTAAATTTGAAATCGCCGAAAATTATAGGAAACTCTCTCGGAGCATCCCCAACGAGCAACTACATATCAAGATCCTGGACGAATTGAGCAGACTCCGCGACGCCCATGATAACTGCGTCAAACTTCGGACCCTGCGCAAACTTAATCGCCTGTACAGAGGAGATATCTGCTTACCACAATGCACTGAAGGTTACATTAACCTCTCCTCCCAAACTCTGGACGACAAACAAGCTGAACTTTTGAACCTCGGACTGAATTGTCATTTGNAGATGTGTATAAGAGACAGACTCTAAGCCGACGTCTCACCTGCCACCTTCAGTCCGGAGGACCAAGGAATCACTTGAAGGAGGCCCACAACGAGACCATCACTCGCCCGATATTGGAGGAATGCACCAGTATCGTTATGCGGTGCCCCGATCCTATACGACTGACTATAGCTGAGGCCCTCATCATTAAGGAGAGGACTCCAGCTATCAACCTTCAAACCACCGGCTTCGTTAGAACTTTGAGATTGTTTTCCGAGTAGTTTTTTGCGCTTGTAAAATCTTCCTGTAGGTAGTGTCACATTAACGAAATTTTAGCATTATTTGAATGGTATCCAATTTACTTGATTTCGTACATAATTTAATTTTCTATCTTCCAACACCTACGAAGAATTTAGTACGACATATTGAAAAAACTAACAAGAAGCTAATAAATAAAACTAGTTCTCTGGTCTTAAACAAAACTTGCTTAAGAGAACATATTAATAATTATGCGCGTTATTATTTATGACTGGAATAATAGGGTAACAATACTGAATGCTTCACTTGTTGATGAGTGGACCAATTTTGCTTCAGGTCTGCCAAGTTTCCATAGTTGTGACATAACCTGTGATTTTTATTCCAACCTGATCTCAGAATTTTAAGCATCAAGGTAAAAATATTTAAAAATTGGTGATGGGCTAACAATGGTGATGAGATTCAAATTTCCAGTTGTGCAATAATGTGCTGAAGTTTTGGCCTATAAAATTGATGTCAAGAAAACATATCAACCAAGTTAAGTTAGTTAGTTCACTGGTTAACTGTAAAAGAGACTATCAGAGTTGAACTCTAGGGTTGACGAGCCATCTATATTTCAAGAAGCTGGCTCAGAAGCTGTTTAACCAAAAATATCAGCAAGGTTTTAAAGAGAAGCTTCAGTTATAAAATTCCAATACAATATGATATTCGGATCTGCTCATTTCTTACCTCTCACAAAAACTTCCTTGTGAGCAGTGTAAATCGTCACCGACAAATTGTCACTAAAATGACTGTTGTCACCATTCGCCCGGGTCGACTCTTCCCAAGTCCCTACTGCACCCAACTCGGCAAAGCCCTTAATAGAAAATATTTGAAAACCACAATAATAAAAGTGTCGGATGATCTATCATCCCAAGGACCATCACCTTGGTTATCATACGTCATCAGCTTAGCTTGCTCTGTACCCCACATAGCAGAGTCACGCCCAGTGACGTCATCCCTGTCAAGGACTATATACAGCCCGGTCTGTGCACCGCCCGCCGTACTGCCTAGCCGTCATCTCGCTAGTCCGCTTCTCCGGCACGTACTTGTACTGTACCTGTCAATCCCCTTCCTTCTGTACTCACCGTGCCAGTTTATTATTATAGAACCAGTTATTCACCACCTCACCCCCCCCTTCTTCTTNAAGTGAATAATCGCGGAAAAACTGTGCAAACTTATAACGAGAAGAACTTTATAGCATTGGATAGAAACGATATTTGAGTACGCATATGTATTCAGAATAATATTGATAATATTCATAATATATACGAAATCCGTTATATATTCGTTATTATTATACGTATATATATATATATATATTATATGTTAAAATTATTATTATTATTTGGATGTGGAAGCAGTTAAAAGTACTAAATTTGTCTTACATGCTTCTAGATTTTTCAGTCGTGCTTCTGGTTGGGTTTTTCGCAATTAATTTTAATAATAATAAATATATATTTATCATATTAATATATTATTTATAAATAATATATAATCATTAATTAATTATAATAAATATATTTTAATAAATAATTTCAATTTAATAATTTAATGTACTATTTTTTATATTATTTATTATTATATTATTTATTAATAATAATATTATTGTATTATACATTGCGTTCTTCACAGTTTACTCCGACGATCATTCTGTTTCTTCATTTTTATGTGTAACGAAAAATTAACGGCAGTTGACCGTTATGACTTGAGAGCGGGTAGACTACAGGGTCCGCTATATTTAGGGCAACGGCTGTTTGCTATATAAAAGTAAATTGGTTTCTATGAGACTTTTCTTTTATAATGCAGATTAATATCATCTATAAATTTATCTATTTTATATTGCAGAATTCTAAGGCGTCTAAAGTTACTATTACTTATGGCAGTAGATAGAAATGCAATTGTAACCTTCTTGAAAAGGGCGAGAGTAATTCAGTCATTGCAAAAAAGCTCAAAATTCGTCGTGAAACTCTGTGGAAGGTGGTAAAACAATTAAAGCAAACTGGTGAAACATGCAATCGGCCTGGTCAATGAAGGAAACGAAGTGTCCGAACAAAACAATTGGTCAAAAATACGAGGGAAAAGTTGAGGAGAAACCCTCGTCGCTCAGCATGCAAAATTGGTCAGACATCAGTCGTATCAGTCAGACATCAATGCGTATAGAGTCCTCAAAGATGACCTTGTAACCGGGTTACTTATTGAGTTTTTATCGCAAAATAAATCCGCTCATTCATTATTTATTCATGATAACTTTGTATCAATATTTTTGTAATTTAGGGTAATAGTTATCATGTATCATTTTAGGGTAAAGAAAACCGACTTCTAGAACCCTTGGTAACAATCGGAATGAGGCTCGAAAGATGCCAGCACATTTTGGATCTCATTGAGGATGGCACGCTGCCCAACTTGGTGTTCAGTGACGAGAAAAAATTTGACATTTAACTAAGCGTTAACCGTCAAAATGACAGAGTTTGGAATCGGGATGGATCTGTGGCAACCAGAACAGCAACATGACGTTAAAATCCCATGTCCGCGATGGTTTGGGCCGCGGTAACCGCCACTGAGAGGTCCCCCCTCGTTTTTGTCCCCTCAGAAGTGAAATTGAACAGTCAGCGATACATTTCGGACATTTGGGAAGCTGTGTCGTTACATTGGGCCCGTAAACACTTCAACAGCTCACTATGGAGTTTTCAACAAGGCTCTGCCCCATCACATGGCTCAAACATGACCCAAAACTGGATTCAGGGTCACATCCCAGCGTTCATTAGCAAAATTGATTGGCCGTCAAGAAGCCCTGATTTGAATCCTCTCGATTTCTCTGTGTGGGATATTTTAGAGAGCAATGCCTGCAGAACACCTCATGCTTCTTTGGATAGTTTGAAGTCTAAATTGACACGAGAATGGGACTTGATCCCTCAAGAAATGCTTCGTGTCTCCTGTGAAGCTTTCCCGCGTAGATTGGGTGCCGTCATTAAAAATAAGGGTGGTCATATTGAATAAATACATATGTCTGAGAATTGTTTAGGTAATTTTTGGCTACTAGCTCATCCAATAAAAAAACAATGCACCTCTTTGTTTCATTGAGAAATGACAAAAAACATGCGTTGCCATAAATATGGCGGACCCTGTATGCTGCCCACAAGGATCTAATTTGATGCTATACACATTATTAGAAACCAGCTTGGCACTAGTTAAAACATAATCCAGCTGAGACTTCAGGGTTGAGAAGCTCTTATGATTGCAGCTTGCTTGGTTTAGTGAATAGCAGCTTCCTGGTGAGCGTGCAGGAGATGTGGGGCACCTGCTTGTTGCAGTCCAGGGCGTGGCCTGCCCCAACCTTCGATTCGAAGTCGAGCGCAACTCGCCGTATCACCTGTAGAAAACGAATGATGAATTCAAGAAGTATTTGGATACACAAAAAATTCTTTATTTGAGACTAGACTGCCAAGCATGAATAAAATGAAGAAGCTGGTTCATAACCGCGACATAATAAGTTAAGAATGCTGGTTAGTACATCAAAGCACACAAATTTTCGAACTTACTCCAATTAGTTTTTCATATACGGTTGAATTCTTTATTGAATAACATAAAACGGAATTTTTTTTGTCATTCACTACACGAGACTATCAGATACTGTTCCTGAAACTTTTCTCTGACTACTCAATGCTGCTCGATATTTCATGTTGCGTCACTTAGCTCTAGCTTGATAATCTTAAATTCAGATTGATTGCAAAAATTTTCTCGGTTGTACGAGTTCAGTGACCACATTCTTGACTTTGCCGAAATAAATTTCATCTCCATTGTTAACACAGTGAAGTATAAGACGTGTGTTGTGTCCTCTTATTGATACACGCGCAGAAAAATGTGAGACTTTTCCCAATTTTCGATGCACTTCTTGCCCTTGTGTGTGTCATTCTGACCCAGTTTTTGCCCACTGAAATTTCTTATGAATGCTAAGCACAGTTTCGTCTCAATATTTGAATGACTAACCTTGATGAGGATGTCCATGAGGGGAGTCGAGGTGCCCTCCTCCTTCAGGGCGAGGCTCAGGTGGTGGAGGAAGACGCTGCCGTTTATGCCTCCTCTGGACGAGCGGAACGAAAACAAACCTGCTCAATAGAAATTTCATCCATAAACATTAATTTTCGGACTGAAATTTCATCAAATTTGGATTTAATCGTAAAAGTTCATGGCCAACACGAACACTGTTTTCATAACTCATCTTTTGAGATGATCCATCAACTCCAGTTCTAAGTTCTCAATAAGATCCAGTTCTCAGGGTCATATTGAGGGTGGAAGGCGTTCCTTCTATACACTCAATTCCTCAGTGGAATAAGGAATTTACATATGCTACAGAAGTCGAGGAGTGATTATTAAACTGAATTTTGACAGTTAGGTTGCCTCCAAATGAAAAGATGCTCGTTTTCTTTTGCAACTTATAACCTGTCGGCTGCAATCTACGGCTGCTGGGGCTTAATATTTGTTCCAAAATGGTATATTATTCTGAATTTTGTTTGTAACTTTAGTTTAGAGTTCGCCGGAAGAAATTTGCGGAGTGCTAAGGTTCGTTGATTATTGTTGCGTAGAATGCCGGAGCGAAGGTGGGGGTGCAACGTTAGGATGTGAATATGTAGATATATATGTGATTAAATTCGATGTGGACAAATTGTGTCTATATTTAGGTTATATATATAGGAATACGTTTAATGTTTAGCTTACTATTATTTATCTATTCTATTTGTTTCTTTTATAGGAAAGCCTAAAATGGAAATTTAGCCTAAAGTCAAATTTAGCCTCAAGAGCAAAGCACCAGTATTGAAGCTATGAAGTGAACGTACTAATATTATTATTTTTTGATTATTTTTTGTGTTCGTTTTATGAGTGGTGGAATAAAGTGTTTTAATTGTGAGTTATCAGTGACTTAAACCTATGCGATTATGTAGGCTAGTTGGGTTTGGGCACCCCAACAACTCTCGATCAGCTTAAAACTGGTGCAGTATTTGTGTTGGTCGCCTTTGTTTCGGGCAAACATCGTCGGGTTTCGGGTAATTCTATCGTCACTTTCGAAGGATCCAGAGCATTTGATCCTCAACTTCGAGCGAGAGACTCCTTGCATTTTATCCTCACCTTCGCTTTTTATTCTGACCATCGAAGGACCCAGTGTTTTTTATCCTGTCCATCAAAAGACCCAGTGTTTTTTATCCTGTAAATCAAAGGACCAAGTGTATTTTATCCGTACCTTCGAAGGATCCGCGTATTTTATCCTGTTCATCAAAGGACCCAGTGTGTTTTATCTTTAATTTAAATGACCCAGTGTATTTTATCCTGACCTTCGAAGGACCCAGTGTATTTTATCCTGACCTTCGAAGGACCCAGTGTATTTTATCCTGACATTCGAAGGACCCAGTGTATTTTATCCTGACCTTAATTTAAATGACCCAGTGTATTTTATCCTGACCTTCGAAGGACCCAGTGTATTTTATCCTGACCTTCGAAGGACCCAGTGTATTTTATCCTGACATTCGAAGGACCCAGTGTATTTTATCCTGACCTTCGAAGGACCTAGTTTATTTTATCCTGACCTTTGAAGGACCCAGCGTTTTTTATCCTTGCCTTCGAAGGACCCCCACATGACGAGGAGGTCGGCGTGCGCAGGCACTACGTATTCTTCCGCCGTGAACGCGATGCTGTCGGTGGTCACGCGAAGCCCGACGCCCTTGTCTATCTTGTCGCCGCGACAAGCCTGCGGGCAAGAATATTTCGCAATTTATCATCAAGAAATTAATATATATTCTTGTTTTCAGAGGAAAATAATATAAAAAGCTAAAATTTAATTTTGGAATTTGAATACCGGTCTCGGCATAGAAAGGTGACAACTACTGGATAAATCTTAAGGGCAGTTGAGATTAACGTTATTTTCTTCTCAAAATAATTCAAATTTCAAAGACGGTAGGAACGGAAGTGATATGATACCAAAATGTATGCAGGAAAAAACACTTTTTTAAGCGTTTCTACTACCTGTATGAAGAAAAGCTTTGGTTTCCCCGCCAGCGTGGGGCACTTGTCCCCCGTGAACGGCTCCCACAACTTGGTGGTGCGGAACTTGTCGTCGTAGGCGCACAAATATTCCAAGCCCTCATCGTTTCCGCCGTGGCTCATGAAGACGATGACCAACGCATCGCAGTCGCTGTGGTCGCGCTCGCTCTCTGCAAAAGTCGATTACCGTGATAATAAAAAATCTGTCTTTGAAATTAATTGTCGATTCCCAACCTTGGCAAACCATAGTACTTTAATTAATATTAAATACTTTTTAAAAAGGCGACAATAATTGAAATGAAAAACCCTGTGTTGTGGAAAGTTGAAGTTGCAATTCTCAAAACACGGCATGATTCAGCTTTCTGCTAGCTCCCCAAAACAGAAATTTTCTGATCAACATTTTTGTTTATGACAACGCCTTTATAAGGTGCCTGCTGGATTTTGGAAAAATATACTGAAAAACTGCGAAATAGATGTACGTTTTCAAGTTCGATCTCGTCCCCTGACCTTTCTGTAGGATATCGAGAAGATCTTTTTTCTTCTGGTTCTTGTGAATTTGTACCTCAAAACCGAGTTCTTGGAAAGTCTTCTGGCACAGCTTGGCATCGGCGGATGAGTTCTCGCGCTGTCCAAGCTACAATTTGGAAGATAATGAAGATTGAGAAGATAATGAAGTCGTGTCATACAAATTTAGCACAAACTAATTGTGGAAAGTTATTTATTATCAATGCTTTCAAATGTTGTACACGACATATTATTATAATAATCTTCGGCGGCATGTTTCTTTTCACGTTACCAGTGTGGATACGGCAAAAAATATCATCACAAACTGATGTGTATATTACTTGCAATCCCGTAATAAAGTGTTAATTATCAAATTTAATTAATATCGAGAAACTTTCGGACAAGCGTAATTTATTAACAAGCATAGATTACCTAGTCGCATTGCCTCCGTAGTCGCATATATTTGCGGTTCAGTAGTCGCATCATTTTGCGGTTCAGTGAAATAGAATAAAAATTTTGACTTACCGGCATCTTACTATCGTATTTGTCATGAGAAAAGATGATGCAGTCGCCCCTGCGCTTGTGGTTCATGTTGTAGAACTCGTCGTCTGCCAGCGTTAGGGTGCTGATGTTGACTGGGCGGCCCTCCACCTCTTTGGTGCGACCAAATCTGAAGTGAAGCCTCATTTAATTTTATTTACTCAGAAAATGCAAATCCCATTAGAAATATTGATCTTTTGGATAGTTCTAAAGAAGAATAATGAACTTTTTTATGAGGTATTTTATTTTTGCATCAGAATGTCCATAATCAAATCTCAGCTTTGAATGATAGAAAGCAGACTTGGTAAATAGTGAGAACCATATTATTGTGATGGGCATGTGCCAATACTGTCTCAGGACTGAAATGTTCTGAACATAAAAAGAACAGATGAATAATAGTGAGGAAATGTTCTTTTAAAAAAAGTATTTTGTTACCATAGGATAATAATCCTGCTACTTACTTGATTCTGTCCACATCGTCGGGCTGTTGCTTAGTATCCGGCAAAACCTCTGACGTTGGTCCCTGTAATGATGTAGGGTAAAGTTAATAGATCAAAAAGTCTTCAAATTCATTCATAAATACCCCAGCAACTGGGAATAGTAAACGTAACAAAACTAATGAACTACAGTGATGAGTGGGACTTCACACGGACCTGCTGGCATAAACAAATGATACATTAAATACACATTGAAATGAACAAGACAGGAAGATAATACCACAATAGACAATAAAATAATGCATTTAGACACTAATTAAAGACAGCTATCCCAAATGCACTTATACCTGAGAATAGCGTACTGCAGCCTATAATAGCTTAGTCAGCCTCGCAAGGACACCTGAGACAAAGTGCAGTTACATACATGACTGGCTAGGCCTGACGACAAGTACCATAACCTGCAATAACATGTTGAATCAACGTTAAATCAAAAAAATTCGCGTCGTTAAAATAACATTGAATAATAGTTTAGAACTGAACGTGAATCAACGTCATTTTTTGAACGACGTACATTTCAACGTTGAAATCGCTTTAAATTTTGACGTTAAAATCGCATAAAAATATTCTCAATTTCGACGTCAGATATCAACTCGATTTCAACGCTGAAACAACGTCGAAATTTACGACGTTTCAATTTGACGTTCATTCATTTTTATTCTAAACTAATATTCAACGTTATTTCAACGACGCGAATTTTGTGGAACGCTTCTTGGTAATCTTGGTACTTGTTTCGGACGTAGCAGTCCCAGGCCACGATGGATCGCCGCCTCCGATTATCGTTCATCCGCCCTCATTTGGACCACCTGATGCACGATGCTGTTGCTTGCTTCTCGCCGCTGGTAGTGTTGCAGGGGAGGTCGATCTGGGATTGTGCTCAGGAACACGTCTAGCTGTCTCTTGAAGGTCTCCAGGGTGAACTCCCCCTCTCTTAGATCCCTTGGTAGGGCGT